TGAAACTCCAGTAATTATAACAGTTTTCTGCATCTTTACTGTAGCTCACTGGCATTGATGGGAAACGATTTTTTCACAACAGTTACAGGGAACTCTAATCTCAGTTTACTGACACTTTCAGTATCTCCTTTAAAAACATTCTGTTCATGTGTATGAAGCTGTAGGTACATCAAACAGTTAAAGACTGTATTTCTTCAAGTTCAGGAAAAAGAGATAACATGACTGACACATTGCATTTCTTGAGTGGCATCATCTTATGATGAAAATAGTCTATTTTGAAGCTCCGTTGCAATTTTACAGAAACTTTATAGTTGTAGAACTTCCTAAAAGATTGCTAATACCTGAAGCCAGGTGTGTAGTTTGTAAAGTGTGTAGTATTGTTCTGTAGAGTCTTTCAGAAAGGTCCTGCTTACAAAACTCTACCTACTAAATACTAATAGAATTATACTTGTTTTGAAAGGATTCCTTCCCAGAAGGACCTGGGGTATTGGAAACTGATGGTATTACTCTGGATATGTGCTTATCCCACTCCTCTGTTTTATTTTCAGCCATATGATATTAGAACTGTACAAGGAAATTAAGAAATCTGAAAGGACAAATTAAGCTTATTTTGTAGGACTCTTTGCTTAAAATTTTTGTTTTTCTGACTTAGAAAGCTCCTCGTGGTTTTTGAAATAGTCCAGGCTGAGGACACCGCTCTGCTTTATTGTAGAAAGCTTTATTCAGTCTCTCTGGGAAAATCCAGAAACAATATCTCTTGCTTATAAATGTGCCAAAAATTGTATAAATTTGCAAATGATTATTTTTCCCTCTTGGGGCATAATTTCAGAGGAGATTGTCAGTATTTGCAGAACCTCATAAATCTTCCAAAAGTACCCTACAGTGAAAAGAATAGGTAGTCATAAAAAAAAATAATCAAAAAAACAAAAGCCCAACAACTTGGTCATCTGTTCAGCAGAACAGCTTTTTATGTTTTATTTACAATATATAATTCTTACTTTAACAGACTTTGACTCATCTGTGAAGAGATTTTCAGCATTCAAGCTTTACATGTAAATGTCAGAAGAACTTAGAACAGATGTACTGTATTTCCTATTTTTAAGCATGATACAGTCCTATGTTTTCCATAAGTTCTGTAAGTTTCTAGTAGAGAGAAGGCAGTAGTATTAAAGTTACTGGACATCTGGTATAGCTGCAGAATATAAGCTAAAGTTGCCTTTTGTATTAAATAGAATTCTTTAGAATGAAGCTCAAACAAATGGTTGCAAATATGATATGCTTTATCCTGAGTGGGTGAATTCTCTATTTTACGGGTTTGAATTCACTCTCATATTTCTTTCGAAGTGTTCCAGGATGGTTTTAATTTCTGTTGCAGTTTAATTTCATTGAGTAAAGGGACCACCTTGTCTTGTTTTGCTTTTTATTTCTGTTTGGTTATTTCACACTATTCATTTTAATCAACCTAGTTACTTAATCTAGATATTTGAATTTCAGATTCTACTTGCGTAAGAATTGAAATTTGGGAATGCAGTGCTAGGTGTGCATGTATTAGCATGATTTACAAATTTCAGGTTTGGGAATGTGATTATCTGAAAGACTGTGGAAAGGTTGCCAAAGCACATGGCTGTGTGCACAGTAGTTTTTCTAAAGGTGGTTGTCATAAATGCAGTCATTCATCACCCTGAAATCCAGGAAATTCAAAGGCTCACAAGGTGAGCTCTCAAAGTGTGCTCTGTCTTCCTTGAAAGGCAACAGAGCTGACCTAGTTCCCAGTGACAAGGGAAAGGCAAGTGCTGTACCCATCTTCAGAAAAGGCTTAAAAATACAACCTGAGGAACTAGAGGACAGTCAGCAGAAGTGCGATCTGGGGGGAAGATTACAGAATATAACTTCGTGATGTATCTTTTAGGCACAAGGAGGGGAAGTTGCCTGAAAATGCATTTTTGCCTCACTGAAACTTTTGCTTTATCAGAGGAGTTGCACCAAATCTCCTGTCTTACTGTGTTCAGGAAGCTATTAGACATAAATGCTGCATATGTTATGAATCCAGCAGTTAGAGGTGGGTGGAACTGTAGGAGAGCAGTAGGAAGTAGCATTTTTATAATGCATATGATAATTTTATATTGATATAAAAGGTAATCCTTGTATTTTGCCTTGATTGCATCTTTGTGCACAGACCAGTGTTTTTTAATTTCCTTAGGTAAAAGCTTTAAATTACAAATATGTGGAAGACAGATATTTTCATATAATGACCTGATATAAAAAATAGATTCAGCTGATAAATAAAGCAAAATTCTATCAAATAAAGTCAGATATTTGAGGGAAAAACCCCACTCTATTGCATCTCAAATGGAAGTGTACTGAGGTTACAGTGTCTTTTACTATAAAATATTTATCCTTAGAGTCACTCATTGTGCTAGTAGAGTAGATTAATCAAACTTCCAATCTGACGTAGCAGAAGCCAATATCTAGAACTGTCCGGTAACAGTTAAATTTTCCTACTTACTTCATTCGCTTCTGGGTTTTGCTCTAGATTTGTTTAGGTGGCAACTCCCTACAACTCCTCCATAATCAAATAAAATCTTAATGATTTTCCTTAAATGCTTAACTGGGTTCCAGTATCCACCCCTAGGAAAACAGAAATTTGTTTTCAGTCATTTGCTGGTTACAGACAGTGTCAATAACTACTTAAAGGTACACAGTGGCACCTCTTAAAACCCTACTTGTGTTGCATGAGTTTACGATCGTATAACATTTTTACAAAGATGGGTTATGCCATGATGTCTCAGCATTTTTTTAGTTTGGTTCATTTTTTCCTGTTTTAATTTCATTGGTAGAGATATGTACAGGTTGTCCAGGGTAAAACCAGCTTCATTGGCAGTGGCACTTCTGTTTTCTTTGAGAAACTAGGAGGTAGCGCAGGGAACTGCTGCTGACCTCAGAGCTGATGGAAACTCAGTCTGGATAAAATCAAGATGTTTGCTGAAGCAATCAAAAAATGATAGATGTGAGACTTTTTGATTTACTGTGCCTTTTAGTTATTCAAGTTCACAGTCTAAGTAAATCACAAATTTCTGCTAAAGTCAGGGAGCTGCAACTCCTTGTTTTGTTTAGTTTCTGTCTTTGTGAGCTAGAAATATGAAGTTGTCCACTCATTTATACTTTTGTGACATCCAGTATGGATTAGTCTGAGTAATTGCTAAGTAAACAATGTCTACTTAAGCTATTTAAAATTCAGACTCATGTTCTTGAAACAATAGGGCTTCACATATAGTTTCCAGATGAGAACAAATTATTTTACAACTTAGCAATTAAGTGAATTAAGACATCACATTAAGTGATGTCTTCGTGCTTCACTGTGATGTTTCAGAACTTCGGTGTCCTTTAACCAGTGACGTACTGAAATAATCCTATCAGGGTTGCAGAAATGGTGAAGGAGTCAATCAAGACTTAGATCTTGCTGTGCCATGTTGTATTAACAGAGTATCACATGGCCTTTACTTTGAAGAACATGTAGTCTAAATGAGGAAAAACACACGTGGACTTAGAAAGGGTTATGAAGCACAGCAGAAGACGGGAAAAATGGCAAGCACGAGTGTCATTATTGTGGTATTACCTTGTTATGGGTGTAGTTGTAAGAGTTCAGTTTAAATTGAAAAGAATGGGCTGGGGAGAAGGCTGAGGGAGTCGTGGGCAGTGAGAGGAGTGAGTGCTGCTGGGGGTGAAAGTAAACAGAAAAGTGAATGTGGAAGAGGGGGGAAGGCTGGAGGGAACAGAAAGGAATGCAATCTGGTCAACTGAATATTTTCAGTGCACAAAGAGTGGTTTGATTGCTCTTTAAAACTGTCCTTGCTGTCTTGCATCTGTCCTGCTCCTTCCCCAGCTGTGTGTTGGGGAGGGCTAGGGTGTCACTGGGGATCCTGTTCCCCAAGGACATGACGGAGTCCCCATGTGAGTTCTGTGCCCCACGGCCTCTGCTAGACCTTGTCTTCCCCTCCTTGCCAAGCACAGTCCCTGATTTAGCTCCTTCTGCAACTCCTCCAACCATCTGGAGTTCATGTGTCCTTCAGAGAAGCAGAACTAAAGTAGAAATCTTAGAATGGGGTGTGTTTGTATCAGTTCAGGCTACTGTTTTTTCATTTTTTAAAATTTAATTAATATTTGTATATCTGTGTATCTTTTGGAAAATAATGTAAATAAAGTTGAATGTTTAATATAGTCCTTTATACCATTCTGAAATGGCTTTCATGAAACTTGTTAGAAGCTTCAAAATATTTTGGGTCTTTAAAGCATTCATACTGGAAAAAATCTAAATTTTGAAATGCATAATTTGTGGAGGAGGGAACAGGCTGACTGTTTAAATGGTGGTGTATCCTTTCCCCTTTTGAAAGAACCAAAATATAGTGCATTTTTAATGTTGATAACTCTCCATTAAAAACTTTAAATGCTCCTAAATGACTTTAACTCACTGAAGGCCTGCCTCTTTCTTTCAGATGTGTTAGAATTCATATTAGCACTACATTGCCCTTGTTTCTGAATTATTTTAATGACGGCAGCCGCTCCACCGAGCTGTCTGTCAAGATGTGGGTGGCAGGCTATTATTTCACTTCATAAATCATAATTTACAGGGTTTTTTATATCCATCTTGGGGATAAACACTTTATGCTTTGTGTTTTCAGCAGCAATATAAAATGTAATTGATACTTGGAGCAATATGTTAGAAATATGGACAGAGAAAGCCAGGAGAGAAAAATCACAAATGTTTAGTTTTTCTGTGGGTTGGTCTACATACTGAGCATTTTTTCCATCTGATTTCATATTCTTAGCACTTCAACAGAGGATGATGATGAATTGCATTTACATGATTGCTGCCTGTAGGTTACTATAAGGATGTTTCTTTAGTTACAGACACTCAACAGATCCATTGGCTCAATGGGGTTATTTTGTACCATTTCTCATGCTGCTAAATAAACTTACTGCTTTGTGCTATTGTCTTCCAGATTCATGAAAAACTGCACTATTATGAAAAACAGAACCCAGTGCCCATACTCCATGGTGCAGCAGCCTTGGCAGATGATGTAAGTGTCCCCTGCTGAGATCACGGGTACCAAGTCTCCCAAAAACTGTCTGCAAGCAGAACTCCTCATGGTGCAAACATATGAATGTAATCCGTTGAGCTGAAATCATAAGAAGCTGCAAATGTTTCCAAAGGTTCTGTCATCACCAGGCTTGTTGCTGATACTACTTCGATTTTTATTCACTTGCATGTTATAAAAACATTGCATCGATAGCCTCTTGCTCTGCTTTAGTAACTATGGAATAAAAATTACAGGTTGGAACTCCCCTGGGAGGGGAAAAGTTGTCAACTATTAGTGTTTTGAGAAAGTCAAGGACAAGAGGAATGCTTTGGAAAAATAAAGACAAATGAGATAGCAGCACTGCTGACAGAACATGAGAAACAACAGATAATATTAAAGAAATGAAGCATATGAAATGCCTAGGATGGAGGCTTGTTAAAAAAAATTCAAAACTATATAACAAAAAATATAGTAGTGATTTATCGATATTGGAACTTTCCAAATTACCTTCATAACCAAAAAATAAATTATAAAAGTGGTCAGCATTGATGGAGTAGTTAATTTCCTGTTACTATAATTTTTATTTTAAAGAAAAAAAATCCAACCTGCCATTTCTTGCTATTTGGTTAATTCTAGGATTCAGATGAATTGTGAACACACCTGTATAAACTATGACTGAACCTGAGGTAGGCCAGAATAGAGAAATGTTTAATAAACTGTGGTTTAGGTGAAATCCAGAAATCTTTGTTGCAATTGATGATGTCAGGCTGTTTTTTGGAAAAGGCAATATGTATTAGGATCCATTTCAAATACAGCATGTTTGAAACTTCACATACTTTATAGATGTTTTTAAATCTTAACTATCTCTTTGTATAATTAATAGCTTTTGATTCTTAAATTTTACAAATGGTTGAATATTGTGAATTGAGAATGGTAACATTTTAATGAAAAACTGAATTAAACATATTTGAAAACTTTTGAAGAAAGGATATAAGGTAATTTAATCATGTTTCAGTAGGAGGAGAGCTGTATCCTGTAACATACCAACTATAATAATACATTAGCTTTGACATCAGGCATATATTAGTAATATTTTTTTAACCTTTGAACAGCTTTGAATAATGTTGATAGTAATTTTGAAAATTAGAAAGCTGGTTGAAATTCTCTTCATTAAATTCTTGCTGACATATTAATAATCCTTGCTAATATTTGTGTTATGGATCTCTGCGCTAAAATTCTTAATAAGAATAATTTCTTATTTTTGGATGCAAAACTTAGTTCTTGATATTTTCAGAAATGCTGAGCAATCTCATTCTTTGTTCAGCCCCATTTAAATGGTATAGTTTTGGAAATCCCCACATTAAAACACTCTGTCGCTCCTCAGTTGAGAGAGGTCGGGTTTTTAACTCTGAATGTATTACTGTGTATATATGGTAGTATTTTTAAAATGTACATATGTTGGGACACGATTGTTCCTAGACATCTGCCTACTTTTAAAGCACAGCTTCTTTTCAAAGATACTCTTGCTGGTTCTTCCTTGCTTGTGTGTAGCTGAACAGCTGATTTTATGGGCACTGTCCCACAGGGTGAGATGTCCTTTGGTGGCTGAAGTCAGGCTCCCACACTGCAGGATTTTATGTGTTTCCATAGTTATCAGCAAACTTTGAGGCACCAGATTTACATGGAGTGGGCTTTATAACTCCAAAACTCATGAAGTTTAAGGATTAAAGTGCTATTCAGTTTTTGGCATGTTTGTCTGACTAGATGTCAGCTTCAGGGATTTAAGAGCACTTTGGTGTTATAATACACAGTTTCATTTCAATAGCCTTTAAATTAATGTTTTGTCTTCCTAGTCATAGTAACTGTTCTAGAGTTAAAGAAGGAGATATTCTCGAGTGGATATTTCTGGTTTGATTTAAAGCCCAAATTTGAGGTGCTGTGATCATAAATAAAACTGTTTAATGTATTGTGTTATATTTTAATGCAAGTTTAGAAGTAACAGTTATGGTGAGACTTTTCTAAACATTTTCATATTCCTAGCTGCCATACCTTCTCTCTTCTCACCCTCAGGGACTTCTAGGCTGAATTTCCCAGCAGAGATTCCGTTTGCTTCTTATTTGGACTTAGGGCTCTTAATCCCATGCTGATGATCCAAACATCACTGGCAGTATAGGTCTATATGGCAGATGAGGCCTCTGGGTTGTTAGAAAGACTGTTCTGGCCAAAGAAGTTTCAGAACTTTCTCCAGAAGCTTTAAGATGAGGCCTGGTGCTCTCCATGTCACCAGCCTCACTCCACATCTTCCCCTCTCTGTAGTGGCAGAAGAATGTGGTGAAATGTTGTGGTTCCTTCAACAAAGAATCATAGAGGTGGTTCTCAAAGAGCTCTTCCTGCAGTGTTTGGCATAGGAGGTGATCAGCACGATTATGGTGTGCCCAAAGCATGCCATGGAGCTTCTACTACTGCTGATAGCTGTCACAGATCTCAGCAGTTCAACAACAAACAAAAATCCTCTCTAAAACTGCTAGAAGCACAACAGGTGATATCTGTTTGCTAATCTGGCAACATGACTTTGTCTTCCTCTTTCTTTATTAATATTTGTCTTTCTCCTCTTCTTCTATCACAAGGTGCTACATTTGCCTCAATTTTCCATTTTTATGGAAATATTTGGAAAAAAACAGATAAAGTGTATGAGGGAAAGCAAATTCATAACCATTTTATCTCTGAAGAAATACTTTTCTAAATTATGAGACTGAAATGTGTATTAAAGCAGTAGCAAAATACTCTTTCTGTGTCTCACTGTTCTAAACCTTATGTGCCTGCATTTGCATTTGCACCACCAAAGCCAATGCCAGTTCTGCTGGAGTTAATAGATGCTTGTGCACAATTCATCTGAGAGAAATGCTGAAGCCATCATTCCTACTGAGTGGTTACTAGTCTTCACCAGAGAAACACAAATGAATAGATTTTATTCTCTAGTGATGAGTAGTACAAGGTAAAGAATGAAAAGAGACCCAAGGGTAACCTGTGTCATATACCTGCTGTTATTGCTATCACAGAATATTTCCAGCTTTGCAGAGCTTTTCCATAGAACATGCAGACTAGATTGCATTCAGATTACCTCAATAGTTGGCTTTATGTATCTAAAATACTTCATTGTGACCTTTCCTACAGAGACTGTTTTCTAATCTTTTGGTATTAAGACAAAAATATTGTTAATATTAGCACTGATGTACTTGGTGGGTACTTTAGCTATGAATTATACTTAAAAGGCTGTGAAACTGTAGGTGATGAATTTTTGTTTGTCTGTTACACCTGTATTAATGTGAAGGTTAGAAAAAAGTATTCGAACCATGTCTGATGTCTATAATTGCTTCTAGATTTGTCTCTTAGATATATTTATGCAAAATATGTGTCCACCCATTTATCTTGAAAATTTATACAAAAGGAAAGTACAAATTTAAAATTAGGCTAGGCAAATAAAGTTACTTGCTGCAAATAGCCAATCTTTCTTTGAGACATTTTTATGATACTGATTTAATGCAAAGAAAATAAGTGATTATCTGAAATCACGTTTTGGATTATGAGCCATGTAGCTTCAGAATTTTAAACTGAAGTTCACGGTTGTGAAATGTATTTTAGCTTTTCCTTCTTCTGGAAAAATAGTTTGAGTCTGAAATCCTGCAGTATAATATGCCTCTTGAGTCCAAATTAGTTGAGAATGTCGTGATAAGGAAAACCCAAGACATGAGCCAAATAGCCATGGGATTAAATGTTAAACTGCTGCTCTATTGTTCACCAAGCCACAGTTTTATAGTATAACCAAACATAAATTACTGATCTTGTTGTTAGGACATAGTTTGTGCATTTTAAGGGCTTGAATTGCTGATGACCTGTTATAAACTATATTATGATTAACCCGCTTCACATTTAACAAGCTCCTTCCAGTGTATGTGTAAACATAATAAAAGGTTCAGATTGCCTGCACTGTAGGGGCACTTTGCTTTCTTATCCCAGTCCTAAACAGCACAGCTACTGTGGGTTTTTGGAAGCACTATGGATTTCACCACCTCATTCAAAACTGTTTTTTATAGACAGTGTCAAAGTTTGATCCAGTCGTTTTTACAAGCAGTTCTTTGTCTGCACGCAAAGGACTGTTCACTTAAATGAAGTGCTGGGATTTGCCCCCATGGCTATAAATCAGAATGTGATCTGGCTGCACCCTTGCCAGAAATGATTACTTGTGTTAAACTGAGCCAAAAGGCCTGGCTTAAATCTGGTCCACTGAGGGCCAGAAACAGAAGCGCGGTGATTGATGGTGTTTTCCTTCATGCTGGCTTCTGTTTGAACACGCTGGAAAGCAATAACCTTGAACAAGATAGATTTGGGGTTGTCACTGATGCACTGGGTAAAACAATGCTTTGCTAATGGTCTTTGTGTCGATTCCATCTCTCACCCAGCTGGCTGAGGAGCTGCAGAGCAAACCACTGAGCAGTGAGATCAGAGAGCTGTTGAAACTCCTCGCAAAACCCAATCTCAAGGTGAGGATGTGTTGCACCTGCAAAGTGCTTTCTGCATCTGCTTCCTCAGGCAGCTTGGGGGTTTGTCTGCTTTAATGACTCTGTGTTTGTGCTCGTAAGAAGGTACACGGGGTTAATCAGAAATACCTGTTATCAAGAAACACTTCTAATGTTGCCTGTTAAGTTATTATGCTGTTACTCATACTTACAAAGGAAATTAATTGTAAGGTCATCGCTTATTTGCAAAGGATATTCCAAAGAGTAGATATGTGATTTTTTTTTTCCTTTGGCTAACTTATTTTGCATGTGGTTCATAAAATTTGTTACAACTGTGCTTTTACTTGAAAGTTTTCAGCCATACCATTAATTTAATAGCAGCATGCATAAGTAGTGCAACCTGGTACTTGGGACAAAATTCCTGATGGGTAATATTTTTTAAAAAATTTAATTCTGAAAAGTTTCTATGAAATTCCTGGGCTTTTCTGTGGTGCTTTTGAGGAACTTGATATTTTTTGTCTGACAGTAGACTATAGAACCATTGAATTGCTGAGGTTGGAAGGAGGTTGTCTGGTTCAGTGTGGTGTTCAAAGCAGGGTCAACACCGAGTTCAGAGCAGATTGCTCAGGGCTTTCTCCCATCAGGTCTTGGAAATGCCTGGGAAGAGACATTCCACAAATGCTCTGTGCAGCCTCTTCCAATTCCTAATTATCCTCCTATTGAAAACCGTTTCCTTATATCCAGTCAGAACTTCCCCTGTGTATTGCTGATGCACAGTATCACATTATTTTTCAGTTGTTCAGAGAAGGAAGACCTTCGTGCTCTAGATGAGCATTGCAGTGGTAATTAAATGCAGTAGTTGATAAGTTTAGATGAAAACTGCAGAATGGAAAGGAGCCCTTTTAAAACAATTGGGCTTTTATATTACCTGTAAAACACTGATCACAAAACCTGAGACGCTATGAGATCTTCAAAGTGCTGCAAAATCTTAAAGATCAATTATACCTGCCTTTTAAAGATTTTTGCACTTTTGGTTTTTCCATAGTTTGTAAAGTGACAAGCTGTTTGTCTCTGAAGGGGTCAGCAATGCCAGTGGCCTATTGGGAGAGGATTTGTTGGTGCATCAAATTGCAGAGATCCTAAACTTCACTCTAGATGTTTCCTTAGTGACTGTCCATGTGTGGTTCATGCTTCTGGAGCTGTGGTGGGTTGAGTCTTAAGACAACTCATTTGCCACAACTGCATCTCTCCCTCTCCCTTTCTTGCTTTCACTCACTCTTCCCGTCTGTTCCTTGGTAGCAGTGCAATGCAATGTGATAATCTTAGTTGGATTTCATGGAAACAAGGGCCTTCCCCTCAGCGTGGTTAATATGACTGAACAACTGCAGTGACTTAGCAAATGTCTTTCTTGGCTGCTGGAGGAGGTGGCCAGCTGCAGGCTACCAAGCCCTTTGCATGGCCAGGCTGCCTAATCCTGCACAAGGCACAGATGTTTCCCTGCCCTGCTTAGCTTGCAGGTGGTTGTGTGAGGTAAGGGAAAGAACTGACAGTAGGTAAGATATTTTTGTCTGTCCATTGTCTTCACCTGCCATCTCATGGCAAACATGCCTCCGAGAGAAGGTAAGTTATCACTGCTCCCTCCTGCATCATGGTGACCCAGCGATTGTACTGCATCCTGTTAGAGGCTGTAGTTGAGATTCTTCTGTTGATTTCCCCTGCTCTCTCTTGGGCAGAGAAGGAAAAGAAGGAAGTTTCTGGGATTTAGTACTTCCAGTTCCTCCCCGAGATGCCCTCAGTCTGTTCAGTTGTATCTGAGATTATACCATACATTACATAAGTTTTTCTAGCCCTTCATTATTAGGTTGATGGCTAGAGAGTGTTTCTTTGTTTGTTTTGTTCTAGATTCCTGGGATTCCTGTCTAGAACAGCTCTTTTTCACACATCTGAAATTACTTGGGATAACTGATCCATCTTTTCCAATTAGGTTCCATAGACCTTATCTGAAAACACATATGGCTTAGTTTGGGATTGACCTAGGCTCGCTATATGTTATTCTGTTGGGGAAACTTTCCCCTCCTGACCTGGTTTATAACTGCAGTGTTAGCTGGAGCTGGGAGAGCTTCCACTTTCCTACAGCTCTGCTCTCATGTTTATGGCATGGGGAAGGATAGTCAGGATTAGTTTACTGCACTACATCACTGCCTCCACAAGTCTGATGGTGTAAAGGGACGAGTCTAGCAAGGTGATTGTAACTTTACAGGTTTGGTTAACGTACCAAAAAAGGCTAGGAGAGGTTTCAAACAACTGTCTGATTAGATAAATATTTCTGTATTTTAATTCTGTTATACAAAGTTCCTTTATTGAATATATTACTGAGTGTTTGCATCTGATGAGTAAAGCTTTGACGAATTTGTGGCACAGATTTTCATCCATAGAGAAGTGTTTTAAAGAAGAAATTAATTTCTGTGAGGCAATTTGTTTATCAGAGCTGAGATTTTCAAAATGTATTAAAAGTAATTCCAAGGTTTTGTCAGGTGCATTTTCTTTTGAAAAAAAAATAAATAATTGGGCATTTCTAGTCTTCTTAAAACTGCATTCAGTGTCCAGTTACACTGAGTGGGTTTTTTTCCTGTTCTCAAATGTGGCATCACTTACCGTAATTAAATGAACTAATAATGGTTGTGGTTTATCTTTTCTGATTAAAACAGGACTCTGGAAGTAGAACAGAGCACGTAGCTCTGGGAAATCAAGTGGATTTGTTTAACTGTGTGTTAGACATTTCATTTCTGTTCTAGATTTAAAATATAATTACAAAGCCCCATGGACAAAGGCCAGCCACACTTAGTATTTTTAATTTCCAGCAATGGATGAGGACTTAGAGTTTGCATTCTGTAATCTTGCTTTACCTTGTTAAGGGTATCAAGAAATAGAACAGTATTTCCATACCTTAGAACCCAAATCCAGTTGAATACAGTATTTTATTTTTAAGCAGACCAGAAATCAGCTCTTGGATATAGAATTATAGAATATCCTTAGTTGGAAGGGACCCACAAGGATCATCAAAGTCCAGCTCCCGGCTCTGCATTAGCCTTTTTTATGAGTCTCTACTGCTGATGACTGAGAGCACTATGCTTTTTTTTTTTAATAGCTACGTTATCTTGAGACAAAATATTTTGTCCATTGTTATGGAGTTGTATAAGTTGGAATATATTATTGGAAGACTTAAGATTCCAGACGTTAACACAAAATATATCTAAAAGGGAGTTTAATTCTTGATATTTAGTGGACATGTCACAACCAAGTTAGCAAAATGGCCTTACGTGTCGGTAGGGTTGGAAATGGGAAGAAGCGAAGAGGTCACTGGAGTTACTCTGTCAGTAACAGGGCAGAGCTCCAGGGAGACACACTGTAAGAAAAGAGATGTACATATGACAGATGATCAAGCTAAGAATGAAAGATCTTAAAGGTTCCAAATTCTCCTCCACTTTTAATTAAAAATTGTCTTGAATAGTAGGTTTCAGTTCCTTTTCTATCAAGCTGGAAGAAGCTGTATTCTTTTTTGGAGAGTGCCATAGCACAAGAGCATAACTGTTATTTATTTTTAAAATTAGTTGATAAACTGAAACAACTGTAGGAATTAACATTTTCAGCACTTATTTAATTGGTGTGGGTATAAACAAAAAAGACTATAAAAGAACGAGCCATCTTTTAGTCCATTGAACAATGTTATCCCAATTATACTAACTTTGAAACGAGCTTGGGATATGTTATTCAGACCTAGTTCACTCTTACCTTTGTGCTTATAACAACAGTTACACTTCTGATAATTACATATCAAACTAAGCAAGTTACTATTTGAAGTTAATCTCTATTAGGGTAAATTTAGTGTGTTTTAAATTAATATAAAATATGTCCTTTTTGGTCATTGGTGTAATGGGCGGAACAATAATTATGTCAAAAGCTAATGCCACTGTGCTAAAACTATTCTGAAGGATGTTTATACCTTTTATGACCCAGAGGAAATTAAGCTTTTCCAATGGTGATTCTTCTTGTTTCAATGGAGTCTATCTTCTGTTTATGTGTGCTGAAAGTTTTGCCAGCTGCTAGTCTGAAACATAAAGCAGGTACCTAAGCAAGGGCACCAGGCAGGACTGTGAATGAGTTCAGTGCCTCATGGTGCACCAGAATGTAAAGTATTTGGGTCACTTTGGGCACTGTACCTGTAGCCATAGAGGGAACAAGAGGTGGACATACAGTATTTTTCTTGTCTTCTCTTTCATTACCATAGAATGAATAGAATTTTGGAGGTAACTTTAAGATAACTTGCTGAGTGAAGGGAAAACTGCTCTTGTGTGACTGGGAACATTGCTGTTCAGAGAAAATACAGATTCTGTGTTTTCAGTTTGTTTTTTTTTAATTGCTTTCAAATGGCAAAGATGCATACACCAGAGAACTGTAAATAGGATTTATGCTTTCTCTTTTCTTTGCAATTCATCTGAGGTACACTTGACTTTCAGTTTCACAAAATAATTTACATTTGTAAATATTTTCATCTAATTTCATCTCTTCAGCTTTCCTTCAGAATAGAACTGTGAGTTAAACAAAACCAAAACTGCAGATGATGAAGACAGGGTACTTTGTTCTTCATGTAAATGCTTCCTATGTTTGATTAGGTGTCCTTAAACAAAGAAATAGTACTTCTTTGAGCTTGAAGCATACCTTTAACCATGTCCTGTCCTGTTCTGTTTTTCTTGTATTACTGGGAAGTTTGTAAATTTTAGCCTTTATTTCATAAACAGCTGCTGATACCACCATCCATGCCATCTGAGGCTTACTGGATTTGCACAAGGGCCTAATAGACTCTTCAGATCAAAGTGCTACTTGTTCTTTTAACAAAGCAAATATTTAAAGACTTTATCAGCAGAGCCTTCTAAAGCTGCCCTGCAGTCACTGGCAAAAATCAACAGTATAAATTACTGTCCAGGAGACTGCAGGCTTTTTTCTACAAGAACTTTAACATCCAA